CGCCCTCGTCGTCGTCCTCGTCGTTTTGCTCGTCGTTGTTGTCCTTTCTCCTGCTTCCTGTGTCGTCTTTGCTTCTTCTTCTCCTTCCGCAGTACTTCATCGTCCACCACCTCGTCTTCTTCTTCTTCGTCGTCGTGGGCGGCGTCGCCGTCTTCCTCTTCTTCCTCTTGTTCCTCTTCTTCTTCGTCCTCTTCTTCTGCTTTCTCTTCTTCCTCTTCTTCTTCTCCCTCTTCTTCTTCTTTTTCTTCTTCTTCTTCTTCTTTTTCTTCTTCACTACGTCGTTGTCCAGCGCCTCTTCTTCTTCTACGTCTTCCTGTTTCACCACTTCTTCTTCTTTGTGTTGTTCTCATGTTTGTAATATTGTTCTTTCTCTTCTTCTTTGTCTTCCTATACTTTTTGTTCTCAGAACTGATATTGAAGTCAGAAGAAGGTTGTTCGTGGAAACTGTGATTGTGTTAAAGCTTAAACCGTAATAAATTCTACATTTCTGTGTATGTGCACAAAATTAATAGCACCTTGCTATTCAGAATAATGAGCACCTTGCTATTCGGAATAATGAACATCCTATGAATGGAGCATGTTACAGAACAATGTCCTTTACCTCAGATGGTACCATCAAGCAAAAGTCCAGGTACCTGATTTGTTTTGAAATTCAGGGCAATTTTAAGCAGCCATGTTCAATCGAAGCAAAATGAGAAATATCCATTGTAAGTTTCAACCGAATTGCCGATTGCAATCTCCGTTGATAACACGTTGCGTTTCTTGCTCGTAGAAAACGTGGCGCAAAGAACACCTACGATGCCACTCGTTAACCTCCTTAAAAAAGTTCCTTTGATAAATTCCTTTGAAAAGTTCCTTTAAAAAGTTCCTTTGAAAAGTTCCTGTAAAAAGTATCTTTAAAAGGTTCCTTTGAAAAGTGATGTAGGAAACAGCTAGATAAAATTGTGGGACCATCATGTAGGTAAAATTCAAGGTCTTTGATTTCTCATGAAAATAAGGCCAATTACGTGCAGCCATTTCTAATTTGGTGCCAAAAAAAAAAGAAACCCGTTTGAACAAAACCTAGATTGCAATCACTCTCAATAACGTGTGTTAGTCTTTCCTGCTCTTAGAAAATGTAACTTAAAGAGTACGTACGCATTGAAGATATAAGGAAAAAAACGCCTGAAGAAGATCTAGATATTGTGCATTGATCTTGTAAGTCGGAAGAAGCTGTTGTCTATTAAAAGACAACGACGGCGACAAAGAAGAAAAAGACAACTATGACGGGTGAGGACGACGACGACGAAGAAGAAGAAGAAGAAGAAGAAGAAGAAGAAGAAGACGAAGAAGATAGTGTTATTTCCAGCAACCTCTCCCGATAACATGTTTGTCCTCCTTGCTCTTAAAAAATGTGATATAGTTCTGGGCGGTTTTAAGGCAAAGGACGGTTGTCAAAGAAACCGCTCTGTCATATCCATGCAGGTAGATGACAACCCCTTCCGCGGCAAAGGTGTGCTTTTGGAGGATGTGGTGGAGAGTTTGGTAGTGGAAGGCAAAAACTGTGCGAAGTTACTTCAGCCAGCGCATGTGGAGCGGTTCTTCATCCTGGTGAGTAAACATGTTGCTGCTGCTCCTTGCCGTTGATGTCTGTGTGTTGGATGGGTGGGTCAATCAGACCACAACCTTGCCACTCAGCTGCAAACTCAACTCTCTTACATCACATTCTTTGAATGCACAAGTGGACCTACCAGGGGATGAGTATCGGGGGGACGTTAAAGAGCTGGTGGGAAAGAGTGCGTAGGGGAATGGAAAAGAGGGAAAGCAGTAAGGTCACACCATTAGCTTCCCAAGTGGACCCACCGCAACGACACCGTGGCCCAGTGGCAGTGAGGAGAGGGCACGAATAGGGATGGGGAGGAGACAGCAGAGCGCATGGACAAAGCAACAGAATGGAAAATTTGAACGTGTGCCATGCGTCACATCATCAAGCATCCAAC